AAACCAACCACGAATAGGAAATATTTTGGGAAAAAAAAAGCAATAAAGTGGTCAAAGCAATCCCTCAAGGGCTAAGAGGGAGTATGAAGTACTTTATGAAGTACACTGACTTTATCAGGTATTATAAGTAATCAAGAGAGGATTTAAAGTGTACGGGAGGATGTGTTTAGGTTATATGCAAATACTATGCCATCTAATATAAGAGACTTGAGCACCTGTGGATTTTGGTATTCACAGGAATGGAGGGTGTTCTGGAACCAATCCTGTGGATACTGAGAGACAACTGTGGCTTTATGAATGCTACACCTATACGAAAAAAGATTTTCTGTTAATTTTTCTAAAAACTTTAAGCAAATGTCTATGTAGAGTTATCAGAAATCAGAAGTATGAGTTGCCAAACTGACATCTGTGTGGATGGTTGACAGTGTAAATAAAAATCATGCTTAGAATAATTTTTAATAATTCTGACACCAAGAGGGTAAACACAGCCAGTGTCAAAGATACGTTACAAATGGTTGAATTCAGAAAGTTCCCATTTGAATAACTCTATATTCAGTGAAAAACCAATTCCTTTGCTTGATGTTGTTGAAATAGAATTTTTATGCAAGACAGGGACTGTGAAATTAAGTCACAGAAAACAGCAGAAAGCTATTTAAACTGTAACACTGAAAAAATTCTCTATTGGAGGAAATGATCATTTACTGTGTCACTCATAGCACCTTAATCATACAAGTGGTTTTAAAAAAATTTGTTGATGGAGGGTTGATTGCAATCACAAACACAAATTTACTCTATGATCCCTTAAAACCAGTACCAGTAGCAATAAAAATTTGCATTCTTATAATAATACAATCATCTTTATATAATATAGGTACTTAATATATATTTTTAAAATTTATTTTTATCAAAAGGTATTTGCAAATAGTTTTAGCCAAGGCTGTGGAATTTCATTTGTTCATTTACTCATTTTCCAAATTTTTCTGTACTACTAAGTGCTGGATACCGTTCTATGTACTGGAGGTAGAGCACTGGGGAAAAAAAAAAAGGCAAATAGTTTCTGCTCTCATGGGGCTTAATTTCTAAGGGGTTGGACAGATAATAAATAATAAGGAAATAAATACTTAATATATAAGTGGGGTGGGTGGGAAAGGAGCTCTGGTGGCATAGTGGCTAAGGCATTTGACTGCTAACCAGAAGGCTGGAGGTTCAAACCCACCAGCCGCTCCTCTGAATGAAGACTGGGCAATCTACTTCTGTAGTGATACTGCCTTGGAAACCCAAGAAGGGGTCGCTATGAGTCAGATCTGACTCCACAGCAGTGAGTTTTTTTTTTTTTTTTGGTTTTGGGGGGGCAAAGGTTGGGGGTTTGACCCTACCCAGTGGTTGTACAGGATAAACACCTGGTGATCTGCTTCTGTAAAGACTACAGCCAAGAAAACCTGCTCTATTGGAATAGACTTGGTGACCTAACAACAGCAACATAACAAATGCTAAGGAGAAAATAAAACAGGGGAAGAGATAAAGAGTGATGGGAAATCTTACACTGACATGTTAAGGAAGCTACTCTGATAAGGTGACAATGGAGCAGAGACTGAAATAAAGTGAGAAATGAGCTATAAAAACCTGGGAGAGAGTTAAAGGCAGAGTGAACAGCATTCAAAATATATGAAGCATTCTAAAAAGTACTTGTATTTGTAAAAGCTGGGTTTTTTGTTTTGTTTGGAATCAGAAAAATTTTAAGCTCTCCCATAGCTTTTCTCTTTTCCACTAAGCCTCTCTGTACTCAACTGACTTCTGGTGCCCTCAAATTTCTACAGCAAATTTAACAACTAAATGCTATTGTCTTGTTTCTGAGCAGTAAGTCTACTCTCCTTGATGGGACTGCAAACTTAAAAACAAGGATCATACTTTTTGCTATTTCCAATACCAGTCACACCCCTCACTTCTACTCTGCACGCCCTAGTGTTTAACTTATGTTAGATTGTTCATAAAGGTATTTGATTAACCAAATGCACAATCGCAGCAGTTTCACATTTTTAATGGGAAACGTTTTCTTGTCCAGCACTCACTCTAGTTGTGGTATGGAAATGCGAAAAGGATCTAATATTTCCATTTACAATTGTAGGCACTTACCTCTGGATATACAGAAGTTTAATTAAAGGAGAAAAACAGAACAAATAAGGAGATATATTAAAAGACTTTATTCACAATAGAGAAATTTTACAAATATAGCTTTTAAAAATTATGTGTCAATCTATTATGTATCTCATAACATTAGAGATTTATATAAAGTTGGAATGACAGAATGGATTTATGTACAAATCTAAAACAACATAAAGAATGGGTAATGCACATGAAGAAGTCAAGATAAACATCACTTGGTTCTGTAAATTGCCATACAACTTATATGTGTAATATTAATTGCACAAAGTATATTAAAAACATATTGCATAAACACAAAATTAAGTGCTATTTTAATTATTCACCCTTCAGGATGTGAATATATACGTAAACTTAACTGCACAGTTTTGTTGAAAATGAACAAAAGACATATCTACCTAACAACTTCATTTGTTTAAAATAATTAACTCAAAATATAATTCTATCACCATATTCTTAATCTCTTGTTTACATTTTTGGTGTTTTTGGAATTACATTTAAAAACTCCAAGTTCTAGAATTTAAAAAACTTCATTCTTGCCATTGGCAGAGCAATACATGGTACAATCTTCTTGTCTACTTACACCAGGATATAAATGGTACATGATAGTGCAGTGTATACATATAACCTGATTTTAACTCTCTATCTGCTGCAGTAATACATACCAGCTTTGAGTTCTTGTAAATAAAATTGAAAAGCAAAGAAAATAATTAAGTTGCTAGTCAAAGGATGTTTCTACGAAAATTATAACCTAAATACATATGACCCAATTTTGGTGATACTATTTTTATGCTTTGCTTTAAGTCCTGGATAAAGAGGTCTCTAGGTGAGCTGCAGATACAGGTGGGAGAAGTTATTCTGGGTCACAGAGACACAAGGCAGCCATGATATACTGAAGGTTATTTTCATTTACTAATTTTATTAACTTATTCTTTGACATGTACTCCTTGTACAATATTGGAAAAAAGCAGTTCATAAAAGTTGGTCCTTTCAGACAATGGCAATCTTTTACAACACTTTATATCAGAAATTACTGCCTATTGAAACCTAAGAAAACTCTGTCTTTAAAAAATATTAGGCTGAACTAAACAGAATTGCTGGCATTTGACAGTTTATGAATTACAAATATGGCAATTTCATGTGGTTCTGCCTAATCCAGTGGGGTTACACTGATGTTTGACCACTACAGGTTGGAAATTTTGATGGTTCCAAGTCTATAGGTACCTCAGTAAGCATCATATTAGCCCTTTCATTGAAATTTATATAAAATATGAAGCACTATGATAAGAAAACACAAAGCACAACCAATCTGAGATGCTGTGGTGGCATAGTTGTTAAAGCGCTCAGCTGCTAACTAGAAGGCAGGTGGTTTGAACCCACCAGCAATTCTGTGGGAGAAAGATGTGGCAGTTTGCTTCTGTAAAGATTTATAGCCTCGGAAAACCTGTGAGGCAGTTCTCCTCTGTCCTATAGAATTGTTATAAGTCAGAATCGACTCGCTGGCAGTGGTTTTTTTCTTTTTTCTTTTTTGGTAACCAATCTCTTCTTGGGAAAATGGTTGATATCTCAAAATTTAGTATTTGAAGAATTATATTATTACATTTATCTGCTGAAGGACTGTAGGGAGTGCATGGCTACACGTTGCTTCTAAAATGGGATTTCTATGTTGAATTTAACCATACTAAATGTGCTGTATTCCTATTTGGCCTAAAAGTGTATTAGATTTTCCTCAGTGACTATAAACAGATAAATTGGTAAAGCAGCTTTCACAGAGTCAAATCCTGCTTTCATAAATTAAAACATAATAATTACTGTTTTTGAAAAGGGCGCTTCTCAAATCTGAATTAAATAGAATGCTTTCTTTTTCTCAAGACAAAAAATTAAGACAAAATGCAAACAAATAAACTAAAAGCCATTTGAATCTTTAGAGACCCAATTTCTTCATATACTCAGTTAAAAGCAAGAGTAAACATACTACAAGTTCTATTCTTTCCCTTTTAAACATACAATTGAGTCATAGCAGAGTTTTGCAAAATTAGTGAGTTTTGCAAGACTTGTGAGTTCCCATCACTGTGTAGAATGGAAGAAATTAAACAATTCATGATCCAGAAATGACACAGGACATTTAAAGTCAAGTCTCGGAACAAATTCACAAATTAGGAAACACTAATATAATTTAATGAACAAAAATATACTTCAGTTCCAATGCAATGAGGTCAACATGAGATGATCCTTTGGGGATGACTTTTGAACTTGAATTACAGTGTGAGTGAAGATTTTAGAAGATACTCTATCAAATAATGATAGACCTGCATAAAAAGGAGGCTGTCACAGTTATAAGATCTGTCTCTGGTGGGTAGACAAACCAGATTAACATAAAGTTGAAAAGAAAAAAGCTTTTTTAATACTTCATTTATTATTATGGCTTTTTGCAACATGGCAAAACATTACAGCTTAAAGCAGACATCATCTCCTCATAGAGGAGGAAAAAGTTTTGCAGTCAAATCAAAATTATAATTAAGAGGTTACTGGTATACCATCCTATGTAGCTTAATAAAAACGATACTGTAACTTCATGAACTCTAGAAACAATAGATTACTTAAAAAAGAAAAAACCCTGTGGCTCTACTGGTAGAATAATGAAGGATACAGTGAGAAACTGAGGTACACCTAGGCTATGATAATAAACATAAAAGACTGCAAAACATTTTAAAACAGAATAATCACAGATCTACTAATAAAAATGCATCAGGTGCCTGAATACCAGAAAACGAAGTAATTATTAAGGTATGCAGTGAAGGGAATGGAGCAGAGTAAAATATAAAATATAAAATGTCTTTTTATTTTTCTTTGACTTCAACTGCTTTTTTATCTGTATGGAGTATAGGAAGAAGATGTGCCTCGGTGTTAAAAATCCAGTGTTCCAGTGGAAGAAGATCATCGTCAGAAAATATTAAGTACAAATACCTGGCAAGAGAAACAACAGCATTATGAGACCCAAAAGATCATGGTAGGCAGTGAAACTACAAGACACAGCGAAAACCACATTTAAGTCACCATGCATTCGACGGAGAACAGTGAGGTATATCAAAACCCTGCGGGGATATACACATTAACATGCAGAAGCAACTACTGTGGGCTTTAGTATTAGTGGAAAAGAACTATACAAAGTAGTTCTGAGTCATTAACTTTAGTAACAACTGAAGATACCCTTGTGATTATTGCCTGTGTGTAGACTGGCGTCAGTCACGGCTTCACAGGGACCATGAGGAGAAACATTTAATTTCCACATAAAAGCAAATTTGACCCACAGGCTACATGAATAAAGAAAATGTCTTGTGATTTTGCACTTTTTAAACACCCCTAATACTTGCGGGGAGTCTCTGGGTGGCGCAAATGGTTAAGGTGCTTGGCTACTAACTAAAAGGTTGGGGGTTTGAGCCTACCCACAAGCACCTCAGAAGAAAGGCCTGGTGCTTTCCTTCTAGAAAACCTATTCCAACACATACATGAGGTTATGATGAGTTGGAGTCAACCCCATGGCAACTGTTTAATATTTGGGTTACATTCTCATGACAAAGACATCTATAAAGATCTGTCCAGATACCTCTGACACATACTTGCAGGATAACTGTTACTCACTTTAGTGTCTCTGCCAGGAAGAAACTCTGCTGCACGTCATCATAACTCTCGTGTCTGAGGTAAACATCCCTGAGGCCCGAATAGCCTCCGTTCACTTTGCAGTGATTTTCTAGGGCCTAAATTACAAAGAGGAGAGAGAAATACAGTTACATTTAAGTAAACTGACTGCCACTACTTTTGATTATGAGATCATCAAATTGAAGTGAAGTAAGGAATCAAACTGTATGAAAACTTGTAACAGTTTTAGGTGAAAATTAAAAAACCAATAAAATGTAAATGCAAATAAAGTATGAGACGTCAAAGGACACAGGGGCAGTATAAATAATTAGAAACACTTCTACATTTTGTTTCAGAGTAATTTTTCATGGATTTTTTTAATCATTTGCTCCTATGGTCCAGAGCAGGGTTCTGCAGACAACAGCGCACAGGCCAGATCCAGTCCACTGCTTGTTTTTGTAAATAAGTTTTATTGGGCCACAGCCATGCTCTTTTGTTTACATGTTGTCTGTGGCTGATTCTGTACCACAACCACAGCACTGAGTAGTTGTGATAGAGAATGAGTGGCCTCCAAGCCTGAAATACTGGCTCTCTATCCTTTACAGAAAATGTTTGCTGATCCCTGGTCTAGGGATATCGTTAATGTCAATTGAGATGATGAGTCTCTGGTGACAAAGTGCACTGGACTGAAAACAGCTGCTACTAGAAGTCAGAGTATTTGTTAAAATCATCTTATTTGTTAAATCTTGATGGTGGGATACTAAGTAGTAATGTTGGTGACAGAGATAAAAGAAGAAAATGGAGGCCAGTGGGAAAAATGTGTGGCTGGCATTTAGTTCTCCGGTATGCATTTCTGTAGTCCCAGTTAGATGCAGCTGGGGGTGAATGAACCCACTGGCAAAGAAACGTCCTACATTCCTGTCGTTGCCTGAACATAATGTCTATTTGGGAAAGAGACAAGCTGGGGAGTGTGGGGATGGCATTTAGAAACAACCTAAAAGTAACCAGTCGTCCACTTTGCCAACTGCCACTAAGGTCACTGCTGTTTGTATTTTGAAACTACATTAGCTGCTTTCTTAGTTGGCATCTTCATCCCTAGGAAAATTAATTTTTACTCCCCATATCCTGCTAATCCTATTAATTATAGGGTCAAATAAAAATTTCCATTGTTAAAAAAACTACCTTTGAAATCTGGTTCTAATTCAGAAGAATGTGGAGAAAAGATAAATAAGGCTTAGGACTAAAATCCCAATATTTATGAATGAAATAAAGAACATGTAGACAATATCAACAAGGGAAACTTACTGTTAGGTTCTCATGCCATTTTTTATTGACTTGCTAGTTTTCTCTTAGAAATAATATCCTGTCCTTTTTTTTTTTTTTTTTTTAACAGATATCATTATACACAATTTTTCTTCCACTTAGCCTGAGTATCAAGAATATAGAAAACATGGATCTTGACATATTAGTTGTGAAAACACTAATCTTGAAAGGGGTTGTGGAGGAAAACAGGGCCTTAAGGACGTAGGGCTGAGAAAGGAGAAGGCAGGTAGCCACTAGCAAGTTTGTCATGAGCAGGAATAGCAAGCGGAGGCTCAGCTTCCACCTGCACACACTGATAATGACGGTATTGATTTTTCACACCAGGGCTGGAGGGCTAGGGAAGACAGGGCTAAGAAGAGAAGGCTTTAATTACTATGTTAAAGCAAATCTGACAAGCAAGCCAGGTGAATAAAGAAAATGCCCCAAGATTTGGTACTTTTTAGAAGTACCTGAGAAAATAAGAACAATCAGCTTAACAGAATGGAAAGAAAAGAAGCTCTGAATAAATTCCAAGTTCCAGACAATGAGTCAATTAGGGAAAAGCATGAAGAAACTTTTTTTTTTTTGGTGTCTCCCTCCCTCTTTCCATTCTTCTTTTTCTTCCTCTTTTTTTTAAAATGCATTTTATTGAAATATAATTTATGTACAGTGAAATACACAAAACTAAAGTGACATGCGTTAATGCATTTTTTTTTTTTTTTTT